CACTAATTGTAGTACTAATCATAATCATAATCTTAATTGTAATTCTTATAATATATAATAGTAATCATAATCCTTATCCTAATCCTAATATTAATTCTAATACTATATTAATCCGAATTCTAATCCTAGTTTTAATACTAATACTAATTCGAAGAATATTAATTATAATTCTAATTCTAATGCTTATACTAATCACAATCCTAACTCTGATTTTGTGTCAATGTTTTTTGCAATGATCTATTATTTTGTATCAAAAACAATTATATTCAATCTCGCAACCTTTATATCAACTTTCTTATGTGTGGTAGCAAAGCATCCAAAAACACATATTAAATATATTAGAAATTAATATTTAATTATATTATCAAACTGACATTAAAATTATTCAAATTAAAAGGATATAACCAAACGTTAAGACGTAAAAAGAACAATAGTCGTTGTTAATAGGATAAATTATGAAAATCCTCATGAACTTTGGCTAAATTACGGAAAACACCCCCATTTATCGGTAATTACCAAACATCCCTAATGTTTGTTTCTATCTTACACGACCCCCTAAATGTGTATTTTTTACGGAATCTTTTTTATTCCATGTAATATCCCAAAAAAATTAAATGTGGATTCTATCCTTGTAGACGTTACATTTCTTTTATCCTACTTTTAAAATACAAAAAATACCCTTAGGGGAGGTAGTTGTAATATTAAAAAGTTGTGAAAGTGTTATTTAAGAATAATAAATTAAGATTCTGTGTAAAGTCTCCCTTATGGTAATTTTGTCGCGTGTGCAAGGTAGAATCAGCATTTTTTGGGGAATATTCCAAGTAATAAAAAAATCCGTAAAAATTCATACTATAAGGGGTTTGATTAAGACGGAAACAAACATCAGGGAAATTTTGGTAATTACGAATATGTGGGGGCGTTTTTCTTAAATTAGCCTAAGTACAGGGGGTATCCGTAATTTATCCCTGTTAATATACAACTTAAATTGATTTACACGGATGACCATATGTTAAAAACTAACATAAATGCTGATGCTAATGAAAATAGATCAAATTTCAAATAAACAAAAGTCACTATAAAATGCTTATATAAATAATAAATGAAAAAATAAAAATGAATTGATTTCTTGTTTAAATCAGTCGAATATATTGTGATTTAAAAAAAACAAAAATAGAGATATAGAATCGATTCTAGATTCTTATAAACATTATAAAATAAATAATTATATTTTATAAATATTTTAAAAATGTAAATTAACAAAATATATAGCTTATTATATATGATGGGGAAATAGAAAACTTAAGGATATTTCACTAATTTACATACATAACTTGTAAGTTAGACAAAAGAACTCATGTATTCCAATATCAAAAATAGTGAGACATATATGGTGTTAAAATATTTAATAATCAATTATTTACGCTATAATACCCTACATTAATATTTTTAAATTCATATGATTTAAAATTTTAATTTTAAAAATTAGTCGGAATATTTGTAGCTAAACATTTTTTTTCCGTGATAGTATGTCTATATCTTTACCCACATTTTAATGGGTTGTAGTAAATCTCGTATAATTTCAATATGGTACCAATATCATACCAAATGAAATGATAACCACTACTTTGATATTTGTTAGATAATTTTTTATTGGTATACTATGATACTTGAAATTTGATAACTTTTTCCATCCATAGCAACAATATTGCATCAAACTTTCTCGATTTGGAAAGACACGCACATAATTATGCAATAATTGTAGTCTTTTATATAATATATAAATATCTTATTGAGTTTGTAACTAAAAATAGATCGTAGAAACTACTGATTTGCCAATTGATATTGTATTTATTAATGTAAACTATTTAAAGTGACAACACGTGGATTGGGGGTTATTAAATGGGCTATCAAAACCTTTAACCACAAGTTTCATACTGAAAAATAGTAATTTTAATTCCAATATAGTTATGAAATAAGGGTTGTATTTTGATATTTGATCTTTCAGAATTTAAAAATACTTCATGCGGAATAAAATATCGAACTTGAGTAATGAATTTAACCACCTCAGTGTCTATTTAGATTATGACATGCGGCAGTTAGATATATAAATCAATTTAATTATTTTTAATTAACAACCATTTAATACCTATGGTTAGAGCATATTAAATATCACATAAATATTTGCAAAATCATTTTCATACTTTTGAGTTGTAGTTGCTCTAGATATGTACTTAATTATATCTATCAAAGTTATAGATAAGTAATTATTAGTAGAATAGGATATATACTATACAGTATATATGATCATTATACATTTTAAACAAAACAATTGATATTCTTAATTTTTGGTATTAAATAAAGTGAATAAACGAATATCATACCGAAGATTTAAAATAGTATTGTCATATTTTGAAATATATAAAATAAATAACTTTTATATAAATTGATTAAACTTAACTTATGTTCTTAAATTTTTAGTATAATCATGAGAAAGTTTGTATTTTAATTAGTATATAATTAAAAAAGTTAAACCAATTATAAAATTTATTGTCACGGGATTCGGTGAAGAAAAAAGAAAAGTTTAAAACAATAACATGAAATCCATGTAGTATAATTTTCAATATGGTAAATAATTGGATAATATTACTGCACACATGGCGGGAAAAAAGTGACAATTTCCGCAATATAGTAATTTCGAACATGTATCTTTCTTTTATACATATAATGTTAATATATAATATTAAATTAGTACAAAAAAAACATATTCTCTGGTTATGTTCATGTAAAATGTATAATATATGAATATCAAATCATTTATTCTGCATATTTTTTTAATATAAATCCTAATTTATTAATTAAAATACAAAATTCCCGTAACATCACCAATCATGCAATAATAATAAGAGACGCCTTTAAATTCAATTTAACTCAATTGAAATTAAATTAACTACTATTAAAATTAAATTCAAAAATAAATCTATTTATAGTTTCCAAGAAAGTTGATATATTTAGAGATTTTATAAATGGTAGGATATAAATATATTAATAAAATAATAAAATATATTTAATTACCTTTAATTTTGGAAATGATGACATGTTTTTTGATGATTTATTTTCACCAATCAATTTGTCACATAGGATGAAATTGAATACATGTCATCAATTAAAATTGACAAATGTCAATCAATTAGGTGTGGAATTCAACTTTTATATATTATATAGATTATAAATTTATTTTTTTATTTTATTTACAAATGCTTATGTATGACCTTTAAATTTTTTTTTTTTTTATTTCTACCTTCTAAATTTATTTGGGTAATGAAAGAACCCATAGCCAACCCTGTATATGTGTATTAGAAAAAATTACAGTCTCAATACGAAAAAAAAATTTGCTACGAAAGAAATTTGAGATGAAAATTTGATATAATTTTTTTTTCCTTCACTTTCAGAAGATAATATCAAAACGAATCGCGAAAGCTAAATTGGTATGAAAATTTAAGAAACATGAATATGAAGTCGATTATTAAATTGACACAGAGAAGTTGTCAAATGCTAAAACGATTATCGGTGGGTGACAATTTAACCACTATTAGTTTGACTGTGGGAAAGAACAAAGTTTTTTTTTTTTTTTTTTTTCAAGAAACGTAATGAAGTTAATTAATAGAAGATGAGAGCAAGTCAGACGTGGGGACTTTGAGTAAGTGGACTAAAAATAAGTGGGCTTAAATAGTATAATTGAATAGACTAAAAAATTAAAATATATATATATATATATATATATATATATATATATATATATATATATATATATATATATATAATATGAAAAAAATTGGAAGTGAGGGGGGGCTTGAGTCCACCCTAGCCATTGGGTGGACTCGCCCCTGGAGACACGTAAACTACGTTATCTTTTAAATTGCACTTTCTAGTATAAGCAATCCTATAAAATATTTTTCACAAACTCAATCCGTAATTCTCATTAAAATCCACGACTAAAAAAATTTAACATAAAACAAGAATTTTTGTTTTCTTACTTCTCAATGTTTTAAGTTTTCAATCTATCGAATTTCTGTGAATTATAATTTGTTTTATTAATGTGTATAAATATTTTTTTTACAATAATATTTATAACTAATTACTTATTTCCATTGTTTTCTTCACAAATATCCTTAAAAGAATTTTGGGGCTCTGTCCCCGAACCCGCCTCCCCCTTTGATTTTCATTAGCCCTCTTAAAATTCCGGTCCCTGAAACTAAAAAATCCTGGTTCCGTCCCTGCGGCGACCGTTCGAGATTCAATGTACAAACTTTTCTAAAATATATAAAATTAAGTATGTTTGACTTAGACGTCACATCCATAATACAGCACAAATTATTGACTGGTCATAAATGAAAATCATACAAATTGCAAAAACGATATTGAACCATGGGTTAAAAAATCTCAACTACCATATGCTCATTATATAGAGGTTGGCGCAAGTTTAATTTATGATTTATTCGAAATCGATGATTCAAAAACCATATAAAACATAGATTCAAGTTTAATATTTTTCCATGTTTCACGATTCATGATTTGGAAAAATTACAGTTTTTATCCCTCAAGTTTGCACCAATTACACATTTGGTCCCCCATGTCTGCAAAATACATATTTCGTCCCTCATGTTTCAATAATTTAACATTTTTGGTCATTTTCGTCAATTTACCGTTAGTTTGTCATTTAAAGCAGTAATGGACACACCCTCGATTTTGTTAGTTTTGACGGAAAATTAACGGAAATGACTAAAACTGTTGAATTTTTGAAATATGAGGGACCAAATGTGTTTTTTGTGAACATGAGAGACGAAATGTGAAATCGGTGCAGATGTGAGGGACGAAAGCTGTATTTTTCTCGACATGATTTATTGCATGTTTTGTTTGACTTTATATCAGCTACATATATATCTACATATAACCCAACCAGTTGGATAAGTAGCCCAAAAGAAGAAACAAACAAAGTAACAATGGATGGGCTGTATGTAGTAGCAACCTTCTCAATCTCAATTTTGTTCATGTCCATTTTATGGTACATCAAAACCTCACTAGAAAGAAGAAAAAATCCTCCCCTGCCACCTGGTCCCCTCGGGCTTCCAATTTTCGGATATTTGCCGTTTCTTGGCAACAATTTATTCGAAAAATTCATAGAATTAGGACACAAATATGGTCCAATAATCAGTATCTCTCTGGGGAACAAACTCTGTGTTGTGATAAACTCACCATCACTCGTAAAAGAGGTAGTCCGCGATCAAGACTCTGTTTTCGCAAATCGAGACATTCCTGCTGTAGGAATCGTTGCGACTTACGGTGCGAACGACATCGTCTTCTCCGAGCTCAATTCAAAGTGGCGTGCGATGAGAAAAATATTCGTTCAAGAGATGATGAACACCAAAAGTCTCGATGCATCCTATAATCTTCGCAAGGATCAGGTTAGAACGGCAGTTAGACAAGTCCACGCTAAGATTGGAAATCCCGTCGAAATCGGACCGTTGATTTTTCGCACCGAATTAAAGGTCATGATGAACATGTTGTGGGGCGGGAAA